GAAAATTATAAAATATAATATAGAACTAAAAATAAATATATACTAATATAGGAAAAAAAAATAAATTCTATTACAATGCTAAATCTGATAATGAGAATGATGAAGGAATATCTGATGATAAAAACTATGATTTAAATAAATTTATTACTAATAATACTATTAATAATGAAAACAAACTAAGACCTTCTGAATATTATATGTTAATGATGTACTAGTTATGAGAAAAAAATTAACTCTATTTTTTCTGCAAAAATTAATAGACAAATCTAACCAACAATCTAAAAATATACTAATCAAACAGCAACTGAATCTGCACAATCTTTTATAATAAGTATACCTCATAGTAATATACTTCTCAATGAATATCAAGATCAATATCTTTTTTCTGCAGCTTTTCCAGTTTTATATTCATATGGAGTTGAGAGTTATGAAGGTCAGTTAATACAGTTATCACTAAAAAAATATGCAAAACATCTGATAAATCATCATGATCCTAAGTTTAAACAACATAGGGCATTCTCTTTTGTTATCTTTAATGTTTTGCAGTGACATGAAGTTTTAACAGAGACTTACAATCTAACTCGAAGTGTAAATTTTGACTAGTTAGCTCTTTTAATATCTAAACTTAATACATGTGATTTAAAACTAGCTATTGAGCAAGTGCAAAACAAAAAAAATATAACCAACTCTGTGATACTTGAACTACTCAAAAATATCAATATTGCTTGTTCTAAATTAATGACTTCCCACCAATCCCATCTTCATATGCATAATAAAATACATGCTATTATCATCCAAGATGGTACCCCTTCTCTCTTTATTATGATTAATCCTGCTAACCTTCACAGTCCTATTGTTATGATGTATATTGGAAATAAAATCAATATTGAAAAACTTACCTTAAACAATTTTTCAAAAGTTACTGAAAGATCTTGATTTGTATATCTTGATTCTTCAGCTGTTGCAAAATATTTTAACATAATTATTCAATTGATTATAAACATTTTAATTAGTTATAATAAAGAAAAAGGTGGAATATTTAGTTTTATAAAAAATTATTATAGTGTTGTTGAATACTAAGACCATAATGTTGGTTTAGATTGCAGATAAAATAGTCTGAGCTTCAATTCTTGCATGTAGTTTTTATTTTGTTTATACAATCTTAGTATATCTTAATATGTAGTATATTAATATATACAACTAAAATTACTAATAAAGATATAAGCAAGGCCTCACCTTAATACCAAAAAAAAAAAACCAAGACCATAATGCCTCTTATTGTCACATGCTTATCTGGCTTTATGGTGCATCAGATTCAATTACATTACATCATAAAATTAAAGATAATAATGAATTTAGTAAATGTTTATTATACTACCTTAGTAAAATTATTAAAGAAGATCTAAGTTATCTTCTTAAAGAAGATAATATTTTAATTGACAAAATGCTTAAAGCAGAATATATTGCTCAAAAAATGATTATTGAAAAATGAATGCATCCATCTTTTCAACCTATACAAGACTTAAGATCAAATAAATTCAAAGAAAAATTTCAGCAAGACTTGTTTGTTATTACTAAATGTACACTTTTTCATCAATACAGCTGAACCTATAAAAAATATAATCATAGTTTGCAAAAAAATTGCAGGTTCGATTTTCTAAGAGAACTTGTAGATCCTACTGGATTAATTTTATCCAATCAAGGTATTATAGCTGTTCAACATGTTAATGCTTTGATCAATAATCATAATCTATATATAACTGCTGCATGCAGAGAAAATAATAATATTAAATTTATTTTAATCCATAAACTAGCTCTAGCATATATTTATTATATTACTGATTACATCACTAAATCAAATCTTAACACACATAGTTTCTTTTTAATATGTGCCACTACTATAAAAAATTTTTTAATACAAACATCTGATAAAACCTCACTTGATATCATGAACAAATCTCGCAAACTTGTAACCAAATGTCTTAACAAAATAATAGGCCAAACAGAACTGACAAGCCTACAAGTTTCCATATACCTGCTATGAATTAATGATCATTACACTTCATCTAAATTTATGTCAATATATCTTCAGTCATTTGAATCTTACCTTATAAGAAAATAGAAAAACCAATTATATGACCTTACTGAAAACTCAGATGATCTGAATGATTCAGATAATGTTGATAGCCAAAATAATTAAAATATATTAAATAAATCATTTATAATAACATCTTATAATAATAAATTAGCTGCTATAAATCTTCATGTTGATTACTGTTTTAGAGGTTTATTACTGCACAATATTTGCTTCTATAATTATGCTTCTAATATTCAAAAAACTTCTATTAATCCATATGAACTTAAAATATTATCTAGTCAATCTCTAAAAGAAGGAAATGAACATTTTTTTTTCAAGGGCATGATGATCTAATTTCTGATTCAAACAATGTATATTTTCAAAATAAAATTTATATTCAATTGTATAAATCACATGGAACTAAAAGAATAGTTATACTATATAGTAAAGAAATATCTAAAAAAAATAATATTGAAAATTCTGAATGTTATGGCTTGTATATTCTTATACTATTTAAACTATAGAAAACTGTTCAAGATCTTTGAGAAAACTATACTTTATAGGCTGAAGCATGTCAAGATTTTATAATTAGCCCTACTACAACATCATGCATAAAGTATATAATATCAAATATGAAATTACTACATAAATGTTTAGAAGAAACTGTTCTGAACCATGAACTAAGAAAAAATGCAATTAATAACCTGATTTCTGCCAAAGCTCAATGTATTAATTGTTCTGTTCCAAGGTATAATGCTGATGATTAAACTGATCTTTTAAATGAAGATTTAGAAATTAATATATCTGAAAATAAACCTATATTTAATTCCACTTTGATTATTAGAACTGGTTTAAAAGACATCAAGATGGTTGATAATACTATGAATATGTTGTGACTTAGAAGAAGATTTTCTATTAAAAATTGTTCTCTTTTAAAAAACTTGAATGAACCATTTAATATCAATAATCTTAGATTAAACAACATAATTGTAAGCAATGATTATGATGACCAACATCTTAAAATTTAGCAAAATACGATAACATTTTGAAAAATATTTTGTCAACATAAAATTCATAATACTCATAATAATAATACACTATTAAATACTAATATAAATAATAATCAACAAACTATTTCTTTAAATATTACTACCTCTGAAGAAATTATCAATTTACTTAAACATTTTGCAATCAGCTTAAATAAAAAACAAAAAAAAATCTATTTTCTTATATGTAATCATTGCCAAAAAAATCAAATATCAAATCATAAACCATCACAATTATTACTTTATCTTTCTGGTATGGGAGGAACAGGTAAATCTAAGGTCATACAATCAATCAATGCTTACTTCAAACATACCCTTCAATGTCATACCCTTCTTATATTGGCTCCAACTGAAATTGCTACTACCAACATATGTGAGAATATTGTTCATTCTGCATGCAGACTTGGCTTCAATGAAAATAGCAAAAATACTATCATTTTATCTGAAGAATCTTTACATCAGCTTCAAGAAACATAGTCTGAGATAGAATATGTTATAATAGATGAGATTTCTATGATTGGTCAAGGTCTTTTTGCTCGATTTCATGTGTTTGTAAAAAAATTAAAAGCAATTGAAGATTCGACTCTCTTTGCTAGATTAAATATATTATTTGTTAGCAATTTTATGCAATTACCCTCTGTATTAGACTCTGCTCTATATATACCAAATAAAATTACCCTTATTTCTTCTATTCTTAACTTACAAAATTATAATCTAATCAAAAATTCATCAAAATGCACAAAAATAAACATAATATTGACTCTTCATCAATTAATAATTATTCTGTTATTAATACAACAAGAAGAAATATTTGGTTAACTGTTAAACATGTGATTAACTTAAAAAAGCCTATATGTTAACTCGATGATCTCTTCTATGCTGATCTTCTTGAAAATATGCGAAATGGAAATCTTTCTGCTATTCAAAAATCCACCCTACAATTCAGAATCCTTGGTGACAACCAAATTAATTCAACTGAATAGAAAAATGCTACTTTCCTTGTAACAAGAAATAATTTTTGCATTTAGCTTAACTTTGATGCAATAAAAGAACATGCCTATTATAATAAGCAACCTCTAATCTTCTTCTATACACAAGATTCCTACAATAAAACTATCCTTACAGAAAAAAATCATAATAAATTTCTATCAACATCTAATACCAAAAAAAATGTTCTTTGTGGCATTCTTTCACTATTTGTTAATATGAAAATCATTGTAACTACAAACATTTGTACAAATGATAACTTAGAAATGGCTTTCAAGGAATTCTTCAAAAAATAATATATGATAAAGATTCAATAGATGATTCTTATTCTAATGAACATACTGTAATATTAAAATATCTCTGAAATATGTTATTGTTGAACTAACAGAAAAAGAGTCAGGTTTCTATTACGATCTTCTGTCTAAACATGTACCTATATACTCTGTTAAACACCCTTGTGTACACACTATTTGAAATTATGATGGATCAAAAATTTAAAGAAACTTTCAATGATTTCAACTTCTTCTAATGCCTGCATTTGCATTTACTAATTATAAATGCCAAGGATTTACTCTCAAAAAAGCCATCATTGATCTAACTAGTAGTAATAAAAACAATAGCATATATGTAATACTTTCCCATATACAATGCTTAAATAACTTGCTAATTCTACTACCCTTTAATAATTCTATATTAAATATGCAAATCTTGCCTGCACTTCATGCTAAATTTAAATGGCTCAAAGAATGCAAATGCAGAACTACCCACTTAAAAGAATAGCCATCTATTTAAACTTTATTTTTCTTATTTATTGTTTTTATTCAGTAAACCCTATATATTTTTAGATCTTCAAATTACTTTTTATTTTCTTATTCACCATTACTATAATATACTATCTTTCAATTTATCTTATTACAATTTGCAAACTAATTATGATAAAGGTTATCAAATATAAATATATACATATCTACAAATGTTACTTCTTCCAATACTTCATGTATAATTTGTAATTTTAATAAATGCATTCTCTAATCAAAATATATACAACTTATATAAATACCTTTTTTTCAACAATTATCTAAGCACTTAAGTTTCACTATATATGAATAACACTCAAAAGCATCTTAATAAATACAGTCCTCTTTATATATTTCAAAATAAAAATATATATAATACTCATTACCTGCTAATTAATATTTACGTAACTAATTATCTATAATTTAATATAGCTTGCTCTCATAATAATAAAATATTTGATTTGTAGCTTTTTTTAATAAAAATTTTGTTATCTAAATTCATAGCTAAACCCCAATACATAATATTAGCAAATTAAATCATCATGAATTTATTTAATTACTTTAAATATCATATGAAACAATGATACCTAAAGCATAATTATGAAAAATAATCATTCAAAAATATTAGTCTATAAAGTACAACAATATTGAACATTACTACAAATTTCTTAAAATGTGTTTCGTGATTAAAGGAATTTCCAAAAAAACACCTATCTCAAATATAGCTAATCCTAATCCACATATGGTCTAAATGTTAATGAATCACATTAGATCACATAATTTCAAAAACTTTACATATCAATCTAACAAAAATTTCACTTCTAATAAATATGATTAAAAAGACTCTTATTTTATCCTATTGTTCGTTATTATTCAATACTTTACCTCCTAACAATGCACTGATAACAATAATTGCAATAAACAAACATTGTCAAGTTTAGCACTATTCCATCATGAATCAATACTATAAAAAAAATAAAAAAATTAAATACACCTCTTTTAAAACTAATTGATAATTAAGAATTAACTCAACAAAGTTCAAATTAAATTACTTGCAAAAATCTATCAACTCTTAAAAATCATAGATAATAACTGGTGAAACCACATAAAGCAATTCAAATAATATATATGCACATTTTCATAATCTAGTCAAAAATTAACACTATATAACAAATCATTTTCATATCCAAATACAGCTTTAAAAATTATACTAAACCCATATAATTCATAACTCTACAATATTTTTATCTTTTAAAATTTACCCATATGCATTATTCGAATAAAAGTCAAATTTATTATAACTTGCATACTATGTTAAATCTTCTTAAATTATTTTTTTGTTCAAATATTTAGCCTAATGCTATACAATTATGTTATTTTTTAATTTTACACTTTTCTTTTTTTATTAAAATTGATCAACTTTTTTTTATATATAAAGCTTTGAAAAAATTATTCAGTCAATTTAAAACACCTAGAAAACGTATACCATGTTGGGTTCGAATGAATGCCTAGATAATTAAGTCCAAATTATAATATAATTGATCAGAACTAAACCACTAAAGAAATTACTATTCATTACATTTTGTCATTAATTTATGCAATTATCAAAATTTTACTTAAATGATATTTTTCTGCTTTTTTTTATTTCTATTTTCTTTTTGCAAAAACAATGTGAAGTTCATCAAAGGAACACACTTTAATATTGTAGATCATTACTTAAACTATTTAGCACTCTAAAGCAACAATATAAATTAGGACCTAAACAAACTATTGAATCTATCTACCTTACCCTAACAAATACTTCCACTATGTATTAAGCTGTGAGCTACGATAAAATAGATCCTAAAAAAGATCACTTTCAGAAACATAAATAATTGGTGAACACAATATTAAGGAAAATAAATGCTTTAAGTAAATTCACAACTTTCAAAAAAAATCAATAACATGATGCACCTAATTAGAAATTATCTAGTTTAAAAGACTAAAGACATTTTTAAATAAATAAAAAATCATGTCTACGGTAATTTAGCAAAACAATAAAAAATAAAAATAAATATGAAATTAAAAACCCACATATTGAATACTAAAATATATGTAATTTGTCAAAAAATGTCAAACAAAAAAACAAATTAATGATTAAAAAAAATTATTTTTATAATATCTAAAATCTGTAACATTAATAAACATTGTAAAAAATATTAAATATTTTTTATTTAATTAAAAAAATGTTAAAATTAAAAATATATATATATATATAGTCAACTTGTTCTATAGCGGACTGACCATTCTAAAAAAAAAATATTTATAAAAAATTGTAATCAGTTATATTTTAAAAACCCATAGCACTTCTTATACCGAACCATTATGAACTTTCAAAGTTTAAGTTTATTATATCCAGTGTTAACTCGACTATATATATGTATTTTTTTTTTATTTAGTTAACAAAATCTTTGCCTTAATAAAAAAGAATAACTTGATTTTTGAATTATCATTTAGGTAATCATCATTTTTGAATTTATTAAAACCATTTAAGGTTTATCTATATACTAATTTAGATGAAGCTAAATAAAATACTTATTATAATCATTTTTACTTAAATATTATGTAAAATATGATGTTAAACTAGCACAGTTATACATTATTAAAATTTTTACAATTTATATTTGATATAAAAATTAAACACACATATATAACTTTACAATATAAATATAACCACCTTTACATTTATTAGCATAAACAATAAACAGATTGTATTGGCTTCATACATTAGACAAACAACAGCTAGTTTATTGGTTTATTAGTCCTGACTTATAAGATGAATTTTCAGCAAACTAATCATCCAGACCTAAACAAACATCTTCAATATTGGTAAATATCATACAAAAGTGTAGCATTGTATTTACATATATAAGGTAGTTTGTTATAGCAATAAGCAAAGCAAATTAATTTAAAAATCAAAGCAAAATTATTTTTTTTTACTAAGTTATGATTACTAATAATCTGTCATTACATTTCTTATGCACTTAATAACTACAGTTATTAACACATATATTTCATATGCTAAATGAAAATCATCCCTCAAACTTAAATTATATTGCAATTATTTTGGACCCTCATATACAATATTTTTCAAACGTTAAACCCTTATATATAATTATTTAGATTTACATTTTCCAGACCTTGTTTTGTAAATTCCTTTAAAATTAATTACAAGCTCAAATAATGTTATAATAGTCTTGTAATTATATAATTTACCCAAATTAATATCAAGGATTTTAAGTTCAAGTTTGTAATTTGCATTACCCAGTTTAATTTGACCTTTTGGGAACACTACCTATATATATTCAAAAAATCCGTTCCTGGTTTTGCGCGACAACATCGCGCAGCTATCTAGTACTTACCTACGGATAAACCACCCAGCCAAATCTAACACGCCTAATTCGACTTAGCCACCGTAAGTTACACGAGGATTGGAAAGAATTAGCGACAGACTCGCCGATTTGCCGCGCAACAATATATAATTATGCACATAATAATTACTTAATATTAAGTAATCGACAAGTCATAAGTAATTATTACGCATAAAATTACTTTGCCCATCTCTAATACTACTGACCCGTTGTGATATTGATGTGTGGTGGTTATGCCACACTGTTCTCATGCTTGTGGTTACGCCACACCGTTCTCATGTTATTGACGTGTTGGAATACGGATGTGATGGGGTTACGCCACACCATTCTAATACTTTCGACTGAAGGGGACCAGAAGTAGATATGCGAATACCATATAAATTCTGTAATATGAAACAACTCATTGTAGTTGCTAAGGCAGCATGCACTATTCCCATATTCTAATATCCTCAATAAATTCGACAAGTGCATTATATTCTTTCGTTACGTCAAAATGTCAAATGCAAAGCAACCAGAAAAAATCGACTAACCACTAAATGTTATTAACGAAATTAATCAACTGTATTTAAAAGATAAGCCACAGGATCTTAATGAAATTATTAAAGAAATGTACTATTTGTATAAT